CTCTTGGGATAGTGTACAGTCCAGCAAGTCATCAACAGAGATTCTACAAGGGTCACACTGATGATGTTCTTTGTCTAACCATTCATGACGACAAAGACTTTGTGGCTACAGGACAGGTAGTGTTCCTTAATTGTACCATATAGTACTTGTTTATCAAGGCTGAAAAAATGTTTGATGAGTTTGGAGAAAAGTATAAAGCTACCTACATGTATATGTAGCCGCAATAGTTAACCTATGTGTTTACGGTTTGCATGTGTTTTTGTACTTACAGTAGGACATCAGAGCAAAAGTCCATGGTATAAACTTAATAATTTTGGTCATGTAGTTAACTATGATATTTACTCCAGAGAACATTATCCATGATAATGATATTTACTCCAGAGAACATTATCCAGTAGTAATGTATAGGGGTAAAAAAAGAAAACCCCTTGTGGGTATTGGTTGAACTGTACACGTTGTAATGCTAACAGTAAGAATTTTGCAGGGGCTAGGTTTCAATTCTGTATTTGCCTTAACGATAGTACTTACAAAGGTCCTTTTTCTGTTGTAAGGAGTATTTCTTTTAGGTGTTTGGCATGCTCACTGTGCCCTGCTGTACAGTAGGACAGCTTATTGCTTATTTTAACCATTTATTGTTCGTGAGATACAATACAATACATTTATTAGGTTCCCTGAAAGGATTTTCATACCTAATTTAAAGAGTATGCTTATCCATGGATAAACATTCATGTGTGTTACCAAGTGTGTTTTATAGTGCATGTTTTCTTGGTGATTTCTGCAGGTTGGCAAAGAAGCAGAGACTCACGTTTGGGATGCAAGCTCCATGAGAACTGTGTCTGTGCTGAAAGGTTTTCACAGGAGGGGCATCATCTGTGTTGACTTCTCAGGTACACTGTACAAGAGGTGTAAAGCAGCTGAAATTTGTCTCTCCATATATTTTACTATATTACTCTCCAAACCATAGCTAGGATGAAAAAAGAACTTCAGAAATTGTCTTGCATCAGATCTGGATGTGCTGATGGTTAATTTTCACTAT